AATTGAAACCCCACAAGACGGTTTTCCTTTTTAATATACAACATACACTTTGAACATAGTTGTTACTCGGAGCACAAAACATAAATCCACTCACAATACCACAAAAGCATGTACAAAGGATTAGAAAGTGGTTACCTCTCCCCTGAGCAAGGAATAACAAACCAACAATACGGCCCCGTGCACCAACAATGCTCACAACCGGTCTACACAAGCACACAACCATCATGTATTAGCTTTCAACTAATAATGTGGCCAAAGCAACACTTGGGGACACAAAATTCCTAGCTCCAACCAAAACTCTACCCAATTAAAAAAAAAGGGTATAACCATCAAGGCAACACTCCAAGGTCATAAAAAATCCATTAAAACCTTAATTCCTTTCCAAACATCAATTAAAATTCATAATCTCAAGGACCCACTATAAGACTTCAACACCTAAACATCCCTTTGAACAATTGAAGTCTTAACAACATTCTAAACTAACTAAACATCCAATTTAACCCTCCTTAACATAACCCAAATCACAAAACTCAAAATCAACCTCCACATTATCATCCTTAATCACAAACCTCCCATTTTCATAAACCCTAACTTCAAAACTCAAAGTTCATTAAATCCAAGAAAACTAAACCGATTAAATACTTAGACTAACCCAAAGCAATCAATTAAGCTCAAAACAATCGGTCAAAAACCTCAATTCCATCACAACCTAGAGAACTCTAGGGTTTCACCATAAATCCTCAGAAATTCCAAGAAAGAAAGTAGATTAGAGGTTAAAATCACTTACTTGAGGTAATGGATCCTTAGAAATGCCCCCTCTAAGCCAAAAATTCAAAATCCTAACAGAGCCTCTCTCTCTTCCTTCAGATTTTCTATTTTTTGCACATCTGACCCCTCCCGTGACTATATAGATTCGACCCCCTTGGCCGCGGCGAGCTAATCCCGAGAGGGATTACTCGCCTGAAAACCTGACTTCGCCACGGCGAACTCCAATCTTCGCCACAATGAAAGCTTCCCGAGAGGAAACTCTTGCTCGCCCAGAAAACCTTCGCCGCGGCGAAACCTTCCCGAAAGGACATTCCCCCCTTGGAACTCCCGGTTCGCCGCGGCGAACAAACCCTGAGAGGGATTGTTCACCTATTCCTTCAACATACCTCAATCCCAAGCCAAACACCAAGATCAAGGTTAAATCACTAATCAATCCTCAAAATCAACCAAAAAGAGGCTATTAAAACCCGATAAAACTCAGGATGTTACAATTCTCACCAACTAAGGAATTTTGTCCCCAAAATTCAAGCAATCACACAATACCCCACGCAAACAAACACAAAACACTTACTAAGAAAACAAGCAAGGGTAATCGCGTCGCATCCTTTTCTCTGTCTCCCAAGTGGCATCACCAGGACTCATACCCTTCCTGAAAACTTCCACTAATTGAATGGTCTTATTCCTCAACTGTTTGTCCTTCACATCAAGGATTCTTTCCAGTTCAGCCTGGTAAGTTAGATTGTCATCCAGCTCCACCTCCTCAGGCTCTAAGATGTGAGACGAATCAGGGTGGTACTTCTTTAGTTGGGACACATGAAACACATCATGTACGTTGGATAGGTGAGGTGGCAAAGTAACCCGATAGGCTACTTCTCCAATTCTCTCCAGAATTTCAAAGGGTCCAATAAATCTAGGAGATAACTTCTTCGCTTTAATGGACCTCCCAATACTGGTAGTCGGCGTGACCCTCAAAAACACATGGTCACCCTCACAAAATTCCAATGGTCTTCTCCTCCTATCAGCATAGCTCTTTTACCGGCTCTGAGCTGTCAGCAACTTCTACTTGATGACCTCAATCTTCTCTGTGGTGGCATCTACCAAGTCTAGTCCTAAAACCGTTCTTTCACTCAGTTCTGTCCAACAAAGAGGCGATCGACACTTCCGACTGTAAAGTGCTTCATAAGGGGCCATCTGGATGCTAGCATGGTAGCTGTTATTGTAGGCAAACTCAGCCAAAGGTAAGTGATCAATCCAACTCCCCTTGAATTCAATGGCACAAGCTCTCAACATATCCTCTAGTGTCTGAATTATCCGCTCAGTATGTCCATTGGTCTGTGGGTGAAAAGCCATACTAAACTTCAACTTAGTACCCAAAGCTGCATTCACCACTTTCTAAAAGTTAGAAGTAAAGCACGGATCTCGATCCGACACTATACTCGACGGAACCCCATGAAGCCTGATGATTTCATCCATGTACAACTTGGCCATTCTCTCCAAGGTATAATTGATTTTATACGGTAAAAAGTGAGCAGATTTTATCAATCTGTCCACCACCACCCAAATAGCGTCATAACCTTCGGGTGTCCTCGGCAAACCCACAATGAAGTCTATGGAGATGCTGTCCCACTTCCACTGAGGGATATCTAGCCCTTGTAACAAACCTCTAGGTCGTTGATGTTCTATCTTAACTTTTTGACAAGTCAAACATCAAAGTACGAAGTCAGTCACTTCCTTCTTCATGTTGGGCCACCAATACTGCCGCTTTAGGTCATGGTACATCTTAGTTGCACCAGGGTGGATAGCGTAACAGCTTCGGTGAGCCTCCTCTAGGATAGTTCTCTTAATCTCCTCATCCTGGCAAACACAAATCCGGTTCTTATACTTCAAGATGCCCATATCTCCAAATTCATAGTCCTGCACTGGGCCATCCTCCAATTCTACCCGAATCCTTGCCAACTGTTCATCTTCCCATTGAGCCGCTCATAAATCCTAATAGAATTCATAATCTTCGAGCACTGCACATAGAGTAGCCTGCCCCGACGGTACAATTGGAATGTCCAATAACTCCCCGAGCAAGAATTGTTCCTTTAAGCTCATACAGAACACATGCACTGCTTTTCTACTCATAGCATCTGCTACCGCATTAGCTTTTCCAGGATGATACTTAATCTCAAAGTCATAGTCCTTCAGGAACTCCATCCAACGACGTTGCCGGTTGTTCAACTCTTTCTGATCGACCAAGTATTTCAAAATTTTATGGTCACTGAAGACTTCAAACTGGGAGCCATACAGATAATGCCTCCAGATCTTTAGTACAAAAACTACTGCCGCTAGCTCCAAGTCATGGGTTGGGTAGTTTCTTCATGTGGCCTCAGCTGCCTGGAAGCGTATGCCACCACCTTATTGTTCTGCATTATCACACAACCCAAACCCTTTAGTAACGCATCGGTGTAAAGAACATACGGTACTCTAGGGATCAGAAGTGTAAGCACCGGAGCTGTAGTCAACCTGGTCTTCAACTCTTGGAACGCTGATTCACATTTCTCCGTCCAAACAAACAGTTGATCCTTCTTGGTTAACTTAGTCAATGGCATTGCAATCTGAGAAAAGCCTTGGATGAATCTTTGATAGTAGCCAGCTAATCCCACAAAACTCCGTACCTCAGTTACCGATCTAAGGACTTCCCACTTAAGTACTACGCCCACCTTGTTAGGATCCACTGCTACTCCCTGAGCTAACACCACATCACCCAATAACTTCACTTCTTTTAGCCAAAACTCACATTTTGACAGCTTAGCATACAACTGGTGGTCCCTCAAAATCCGTAGTGCGATGTGAAGATGCTCTCGATGTTCTTCCTCACTTCTAGAATAAATTAGAATGTCATCGATGAACACTACCACAAATCTGTCCAAATAAGGTCAGAAGATCCGATTCATATAGTCCATAAAGACAGCTGGAGCATTTGTTAGTCCAAAAGGCATCACCAAAAACTCATAGTGTCCATAACGAGTTCGAAAGGCTATTTTTGAAATGTCCTCTACTCGTACCCTCAACTAATGGTATCCTGATCTCAGATCAATCTTAGAGAAAACTGACGCTCCGACTAATTGGTCTAATAAGTCATCAATTCTAGGCAATGGGTACTTGTTCTTGATTGTTGTCGGTAGTCGATACACAACCTCAAGCTACCATCTTTCTTCCTCACAAGCAAAACTGGCGATCCCCACAGTGACACACTTGGTCAGATAAGTCCCTTTTCTAACAATTCTTCTAGCTGCTTTTTCAATTCTACCAATTCTGAAGGAGACATTCTATAGGGAGCCTTTAAGATTGGGGTAGTTCCCGAAACCAATTCTATGGAGAACTCCACTTCCTGCTCTGGAGGTAGTCCTATAACCTCGTCTGAAAGCACCTCAGGGTAGTCCCTCACCACAGCTATCTGTTCAATTCCTCCTGCCTCATCCTCACTAATTGAAAAGAAGACAATGAAGGCCTGGCACCCCTTCCTCACCGCCTTCTCTACTTAAGCAGCTGACAACAAAACTGGAGCACCTAACATTTCAGCACATAAGGCACCTACCGGAATCGTCACCAACCTCCTTTTACAATCAAGGATTGCACCATTGGCCATCAACCAATTCATGCCAATAATCATGTCGATACCTTTCAGAGGTAGACAAAACAAATCTATTGTAGAATCTCGATTCTCAAACTGAAGTGCAAGCTCTAGACACGCTCTTCTAGTTACAACAATGACTCCTGCAGGAGTAGACACTCTCAAATCATAAGGTAGCTCAACTACAAGAAAACTCAACTTCTGAGCACAGTCCACAGAAATAAAGGAGTGCGTAGTACCCGAGTCAAATAAAGCAGAAATAACATGCCCCTCAAGTAGATGCAAAAGCTTCCTCATTTGTCATGGCATAGACACGTCCCGAAATAGTAGAACAGCTAGCTTGAGGTGTCGGTTGGCTCTCTGGACAGTTTCTAGCAACATGTCCCCACCGGCAGCATCAAAAGCACTCCCAGCATTGCCCTGCATGCCTACCCCCGCATCTAGGGCACGGTCCAGTAACACTCGGGGTGGTCACTGATGAATCTCGACGGGAGCCCTGTCCCCTGCCAATTTGATTGTTTGGATTCTGGCGCCTTTGCATAAAGCCCTTCTGAGTATTCGACCTCTGATTCTGCCCTTGATTCCTATTTCTCCCTGAGCTCCCAGAGCTGTACTAACTTCTTTTCCCCACTCCTCCTGTAGGACCAGGATAACGGGCTACTCTAGCTTGGTTCTCAGCCGTTCTTGCCTCTACCACCTCTCTTGCCCTTCTAGCTACAACCCGCAACTTCACACACATCTCCTCAAAGGTATTGACCTCTAACAGGGCCAATTGTTGTTTCAACTCTGGCCTTGCACGATTCATCAACTGTTGAGCTAGCCAGAATGAATGATCTTTTGTCTGCCTGGGCACATACTTCGCCAGATCAATAAACCTCGTGATAAACTGATCCTTGTGCATCTCTCCCTGCTTCAAGGAGTAGAACAGGAATTGCTTTTCCATTCGCAACTCCTTTGGAAAGAAATGATTATAAAACATCTGCTTGAAGGTATCCCAGTCCAATTGAGATTTATCAGAAGGTCTTGCAGTAACCCACTAATGCCTTGCTTGCTCCACAAGATAGGTGATCGCTACTTGTACCCTGAGCGGAGAAAGACAAGGAACAGCAGTAAAGATTGTCTCCATTCGCTCAATCCATTTCTCTGCATCTGACGGTTCCAAACTTCCCCTAAACTGTGGAGGATCATGATGATGCACCTCTCTCCACACCTTGGTGATGTCATTCAGTAACGGAGGGTAAATCATTCCCTCTGAAGTATCTCTTTCCTGGCTAACCGCTCGATACTCCTCCCTCTGAGGTAAGTCTCTAGCTCAATCACCACCTCTAAACCCCCTTTCTCCTTCTCCTTGTGCCCCCATAGTCACCTCATTCTCTCGGTCCTCCTGATTGACCGACTCTTGATGCTTCCTCATGAAGTCTTCTTCAAACTTTCTTAATCTTTCATCTACCACTGCCGTCATCATCTCCCTCATTTGTCTCAGAAAGGCCTCATTCTCTTGAGGCGGTCCGTTACCGGTGGATCTGTCTGATGTGTCCGTACCATCCTTCTTCTCCCCAACTAAGGATGGAAACCCTCATTAGTAAAGAAAAGAAAGGAAACACAAAACAAACAGGGAAGGTATGTATGAAGTATATATATTGCCACTAGGAAAAGAAACAATTTCAAAGAAACAAACTGGCTCTGAGTACTAATTTGTAAAACCCTTAACCTCAAAACATTATAAACTCGACATAAAATCACTACTATGGTAGAAAAGGAAAGCTGTTACAACAACTACCATAGTAGAAAGAAATTGCAAAATTTTAGAAATTAACATTAAACTCGGTTCAAACTCAAACTCCGTTGCATGCAACTAAAATCATTCATTAACATCCACGGGGACTCCGAGCCTCCGGCCCGGGTAACAAAAGATATCAACATCAGGCCATACAATTGATTTCCAACAATGTATATCAAAGTTTCCCAAAACACTAGAAATGTCCTCCGACCAACCAAAAATAAGGAGATAACATTTTCTCTAGTTTACAATAAGACCAACAATCAAAATATTTCAAAAGGGGCCCTAAATGTGGCAATATACAACTAGCCATGCATATACAAGTTTGGAGATGTAGAAGCCTCCTCATTTGTCATGGCATAGACACGTCCCGAAATAGTAGAACGGCTAGCTTGAGGTGTCGGTTGGCTCTCTGGACAGTTTCTGGCAACATGTCCCTACCGACGGCATCAAAAGCACTCCCAGCATTGCCCCGCATGCCTACCCCCGCATCTGGGGCACGGTCCAGTAACACTTGGGGTGGTCACTGATGAGGTAATGGATCTTTAGAAATGCCCCCTCCAAGCCAAAAATTCAAAAACCTAGCAGAGCCTCTCTCTCTTCCTTCAGATTTTCTATTTTTCGCACATCTGACCCCTCCCGCGACTATATAGATTCGACCCCCTTTGCCGCGACGAACTCCAATCTTCGCCGCGGGGAAAGCTTCTCGAGAGGAAACTCTCGCTCGCCCAGAAAACTTTCGCCGCGGCATGCCCCTAACTTCGCCGCTGCGAAACCTTCCCGAAAGGACATTCCCCCCTTGGAACTCCCGGTTGGCCACGGCGAACAGACCCTGAGAGGGATTGTTCACCTATTCCTTCAACATACCTCAATCCCAAGCCAAACACCAAGATCAAGGTTAAATCACTAATCTATCCTCAAAATCAACCAAAAAGAGGCTATTAAAACCTAATAAAACTCTGGACGTTACACGCTAAGGTTATGCAACGAAATAACTTAAGGCTTGGTGGGACAAATTTTTCCCCAATAATTTTACTTATTTTGGCACCAATTATGAGGAGGAGGACATGGATAAATTTATACAATTTTTTAAAGGGCAAACTTAGAAGAAATGTAAGTATTCAATAAAAAATTATTTTTCTAAGCACATGCGCAATAGGTGGAAGGAGACATGGTAAGGGGGAAGGACGTGTGGCAAGTTGAGAGGACATGTGGCATGATCTTGTGATGGAAGAGCCATGGAATTCTAGTGTTTAACCAAGGACAAAATAGGAAATCTAAGCCAAAAATTTGTCTATAAATACCCCTATAAATCATAAAATTTGGTAAAAATAGAAAAATAAGGGGGGATGTTTTGCTATTTGAATTTGAAAAAAGGAAGAAGAGCACCAGGAGCCTTCAAGCAATCATTTAAGGAAAGTTAAAGTATTCATTAAGGATTTAACTACCTAGATTAGTGAATGATTTGGGATTGCTTTGGATGATTGAAAATAGCTAAGAAAACCCAGGAAACCTTGCTACCCAAAATTCTATATGACTTGATATGAATGATTTAAAGATAGCATTGGAATTAGAGGATAGAAACTAGTTGGAAACTAGTATTTTAACTTGGTTTATGAAAGAATTCCAACTTATGGCATTTATGCATACCATTTAGCCAAACTTGGATCATCAGGCTAGAGTGATTTGTGTTAATTTCATGCTTCCAAAGAGTTTAAAAGATGAATTTGGGTAGGACTATGTTGAGGGAATTTGTTTAGAAGCATTAAAATTGAAAATGAAAATTTTGGAATTCCATACCCTATGTCTCAGCCAAGTTTGAAAATTGGGGAAGGAATTTGATTTTGATAAATCTAAGTTCAAATAAAAAAATCATGTGGGAAAAGCATATGAGAGTTATATTAAGAAAGATGATGTAAAAACCTTAAAATTAAATATCTTAGGGTTTTAGGTTAAGTGTTGAATGACGTTGTTTGAGTTAACATTTAGAGTGTTATTGTTTTGCAATTGATAGGCATTGAGCTTGGGCAAGAGAAGACTCAAGAACAAGGGAAAGGAATCAAGGATCAAAACTTGACAAGAGGTAGCAAGAGCTTACAATTCTAGTGTTGAATTGCATTGGTTGTTTTTGCCATGTGCTATGATGTGGTTGAGTTAGCTATGATGAAATGTGTTTAGCTCCTTGCATTTATGCCTTGGCAATACATATAGTTGAGTTGTTTAATGGCATGTTTATGAGCTCCCTTTCCATGGCATGATGATACAGATGAATGCATGAAAATGTTGATTACATATAGCATGAATTAATCTTGCATTATTAACATTATGATTGTTGTTCTCTACTACTGAGATTTCTTTGCAATCTCACCCTGCCTTTATATCTAAATGACATTACTAGGGGTTGGTTCTTCAAGAGATAGAGGGAAGAATGTGGATGCATGAAGAGGCTTGCATGAAATGTCATGCAATTATGCATTTTCATATGTTTTGTAATTATCACTTTGCTTAGAATTATGTAATGCCGTGTATACTATGATGAATGTTGTATGGAATGATGCTCCCAAATCTTAAGAGGTATTATGAAGCATAAGAACATGATAGCATGTTTGGTAATTGTGGCCTAAATTCCATAAAGGAATGATATTAAAAAGGATTAAAAGTACTTGGAAAACCTAGCTAGTGTTTGAGGCTACGACATTTTTGGTCAAACAATGGAATCTGGCTGTGATATTTGGTGAGCTTAAATTTCACATCCCAAGCTTCAAATGAAGTAGTACATCACCTAACTTAGAACTATGTACTAAAAGTTATAAATTTTTGAAGTTACGGTAAAAATCTGGAAGTTAAAAATCAACTAAATGAATAGTGCTCATTGGGAATAAAATGGAGCCCGAATGGAATAAGTAATTGACCAGTCAATATTTGTTCTGTGTAAAGAAATGAAAAAACTTCAAATAGAACTTGGAACCACCTTATTTCGAGTTTTCTAGAATTAGTTATAAATTTTCAAAATTTTAAAGTTACTAAGTGAATAGTAACCTAAGAAAGTGATTTTTCAAGGCATGGTTTTCTAAGCCTAAGGCCATGTAATATGGTTCCATTTGATATTTGTTGGCTCCATATATGGTTATAAATTAAGGTGTTACAAAGAACACAGAAGGCAATTGAATCGAAGAACCCTAACACAGAATGCCCTTATGGCTACCTTTCCTCCTCTTCTTATCTGTTGACTTCTTCACTCTTCAATCTTAAGGTAATAAACTTTTGTTCTTTCAGTGTTTGAGTTTTCTTCTTCACTGACCATTTAATTTTATCTACATATGTGGGTGTGTGCGCATTAATAAACTAGTATCTACTGGAAAATTCAACTCTTCTTCTGTAAGTTCTTGTGCTTGGTGCTTTTTTGGTGTTTTAGTTGTATGTTTTTGTGTTTCTTTTTTGAGGATATTTTAATAGAATTTTTTTTGCCCTGGATGGCTATGCTCTTTTGGTGTTTGCCTTCAAGGATGGCAATCATGTTTTTCATGCTACAGATCTAATATAAGATTTTGATCGGCCAAGCATTTAAAACTTAAATTGCTTTAAATTTTGATAGAAGCGCCACTTATAACATCTTATACTATTTGATGACGTCTTTACGTTGTATTGTTTATTTTCATTGGGCTTTTGAAAGGTATAAACACTTACATTATGCAAAGACCCAAAGTTAGAGTATAAAAGAAATACAAATAAAGAGCAATAAACAAATATCAAGCAGGTTAAGTTTAACTAGCCCAAAGATCAGATAGCTAAACTGAATGAATAATTATCGATAAGTAATTCGATAACAACTACTACCTCTGGTTCTTAATATAAGATCCTATTTGACTTTTATTTTGGTCTTAAATATAAGACCCCAATCCATTTTGTCTCTCACATTTATGTATTTTTTTCCAAAGTAGTCCTTCTAATGATAATAGTTCTAGTTAATACACTTGATTAGCAAGGATATTTTGGGAAAGACAACACCTATTTAGGACAAATAACTAACTCAACTTACTTCCTTAATCTCCTCAAATTAGTCAACTGGCTCTTATAATTAGGACCAAAGGTAGTATTTACCACTAATCTTATTGAAACTAGAACAAATGTACAACTTGACGTTCTTTATCACTAATACCCTTTATAGATAATCTTATTGATAAATGACCAAAGATGTGAAAAAAAACTGAAATGTGAGAGATATTGAAATTCTTAAGCCATTTTATCACAAACCTTATCGACAAATCTTGAAAACCAAAAAAATAGAGAGATTATCACAATTTATTGAAGCTGAAGATTGCAAAACACCTGCATTGATATCATTATCAATAAAAATATTTATTGATAATCTTACCAATAAATATCACTAGGAAATCCATTTTAGGGTTTAAGTCAAAGATAAACATTATTGATAATCTTATCAATAATTACTGTTAAAAATCTTT